TGACTTGTTCGGAATGCCTGACAACATTTTAATAATGTTGCGAGAACATTCGCCGAAGGCAAAGACGTCGACAGCAGAATGCCATCTTATGTGTTGGGTTTTTGCTGCCTCACGATGTCGGGCTTTTTGCCAAGTCCAATGCCTTCACAGAAATTGGCAAATGTATGAATACAAATTTACTAGCTAGATATTAAACATCACTGAGAAAGAAATATACATCCACATAGTCAAACGGGTTAAAAGGCAGCAGCTGAGATTAATTCACGATTTAGTTGGTATCTTTGAGAGCTCTCCTCTTTTTCATATTCATTGGCAGTTGAATGCTTACCATATCTGCTGCGAATGTTGGTTTAACTTTTGAACTTTACAATTCGGGCGAACCATATGCTCTGTTGCTCTTTCAAAAGATGTTTTCAAACGAAGCGAACAAAAGTGCCCTTTCGGCTATCTCTTTTCCGTTTTCCTGGCAAAAGTTCAAGGTGAATCAGAGCTGCGTAAAATGCCAAGGTTGATGGTGAAAGGCATTCATACTGAAAGCCTCCAGCTGGACCATGAAATGCTGCTTTAAATATAAGAGAAATATTAAAAATAAATATAAAATATTGTATTCAAAGAGGAAAGAAAGGAAAGAACTAATATTTAAAAATAAAAATTTTACTTTAAAAAAATATATATCAATACCTTATAGTAGATGTAGAAATCAATTTTTTAATGTTGTTTGATTTTTGCTCCCGCCCTCGCATAAAATGCATTGGACTATTTATGGATTCTGTGGCGCCGCCAATAAAGTGAATCTGCTGTGCAGGCGACAAAAATAATTGAGGATAAAATCCCACGCATAGTGTTTTTTGTTTGTGTCGCTGGCTAATAATCAAAATGGACGCTGAAGCGGTTATAAATGCTGGCGTCACGAAACTTTGCCAATGGACATAATGCGACCGAGCCTTACCGAAAACTTGCGATGCAGACGCTTCTCGCAATTGCCAAACAGAAAAGGGCCAGCGAGTAAGGATCCAAACACACACAGCAAACCAAAGAAAGAAAAAAAGAAAAGAAAGTTGTGCAAAGTCCATTAAATACATAAACCTGCCACGAAATGTTCATGGAAAGCGCATAAAGAAAGTTTGTAGCCAGTCAGCCAGCCAGCTAGCCAGTTAGCCTGGCCAACGGGGCGTATGGGAAAACAGAAGGACAGAAGGATCGTTGCAAAGTGTTGAGGCTATTTATGCTCGCCATATGTGACGCAGTCGCAAAAGTCCGGCCATGGGCCGTAATAACTTGATTTGCGCCCATTGTGGCGGCGACGCAGATGCAGCACAAATATAATGGGGCGGGGACACGCCCTCTTTTTCGCCGGATATAACCGGACAACGAAGACGCCGGAGCTCGAATGCCCCGTCAGCGTTTGGCTATGGCTTTATTTATGACTTCCTTTGCAGCGGAAATGTAAAAAGCATTTTTGGTTATTATGCACATTTATGTCAATGTGGCAGAAATTGATGCTCGTAAAAAGTAACAACTGCAGGGTAAACGCCCCTCAAGGCCCAGACTTTTGGGGCTTTCGGACCAATACAATATGTTATTTCAATATTGCGAGTCGTAAAAGATTAAAATGATATTAAATGGAATAACAAAATGGAATCGAGGGGAATTCACATTCAATTTCGACCAATAAATAACATAAAGCTATATGCTAAAACCACAAAGATAGCTAATTGAAATATAATTTGTAATTTGCGGGGAATATTCTCCTATTTTTAAATAATATTCAGTTAGGTTTCGTTGTCCGAAGTACTGTATGGTGAGTAAACACTCTTTTGGCGAGAAGTGCGTAAAATATAAATGAAGAAGGAAATGTTTGAACTCTGGCCAAAGGACGGAAATAAATTAACAAACTGTCCAAGTTAAGAGCGATAAAAATGTCATGGTCCACCATTAGAAGGCCATTAAAAGAGCGTTCAAGTCAGTCAGAGGAAATCAAATAAAAAACTCAGCTGGGTCAATTGTCTAGCAAAGACAACTGTCCAAAAAAATAAAATAAAAGAAGCCGGAAATATTGGGGAGAGAAAGTCGAAATGGACACATGTGTTGTTGGCCATGTTGGCAATCCTTTTGAGTGATTTCTGCGAATTAATTTCAAACTTTTCGCAAGTCCTTTGGGGACGAGCTGTTGTCGAGCTTGTGCGAGAAAAGCTCTTTATCTGGCCAAAGAAAATCCAAGTTGGGCAATAAAATCTCCTTGAGTGGGATTTGCCCTTCCTTTTTTCGCCAGTTGCCCTATTGACTCCTTGGCTAATTGCCGACAACGTCAGGAATTAACCACCGAGAATGGCTATTATTTATTTTAGCACCACTAAAATATTTATGCAGATGATTCCTTTCCCCTTAGACAAGTTCACTCCTCATTCTATTTTTTTTTTGCCACTGCTGCGGTCGTAAATTTCCATCGCAAAGTAAAGCAATTAAAATTTGCATAAAATTCGAATATATTTGCCGGCTTGTCTAAAAACTAAACATCAACAGGGCACGGAAAGAGAGCACTCGAAACTAACACACACGCACGGGAGGGCTATGTAAAACATGACAGTCCAAAGGATATACATACATATACGATATGTGTGAGAGTGCCTTGGATCTGGGTATGAAATGAAAAATTACGTATACGCCATGTAACACTTGGCGCATAAACTTTGAAGTGCACTCGTTCACAAAAATGGCAAAGTTTTCCAACGCACATGGCAAATAATTACAGAAAATCTAGGAAGTCCTTCTTGCAAGTATGAAAATAAAATTCAATAAACTCGTAAGCCGAAATTCCATGAAATACGACTACGACTTGATGTCCTTCGATTTCGATTTCGAATTTATGGTTTTATTTTGAGCAGCTAAAATAGCTTGTTGTAAAATGCTTTATTGTATAATTTGGTTAGAATTTACTGGCAATCGTCGTCGTCGTCTTATGTAAGAGGATCATGAAGTGTAGAAGGAATTTTAATTGGACTGACGATTTCCATCCGACATATGAAATCATGTAAGCTGTTCAGATATTCGCCTATAAACATTTCGAGAAATACTCTGTAGAAGAAAGTTGCGTTTAGTCTCAACATGTGGCATGTGTGGCGAGACCCCCAAAAATATCGACATATGCAAATTTAATGAAGACTTGCATTTAGGCAGATATGAACTGTGTGTTCTTCCTCTGGTCGTATCCTTTTCCATGCCAATACTTTTTGGTCCTATTTGTTTAGGTTTCCTCATGTTTTTTGTGTGTTTGTGTTTGTGTGTGTGTGATGGACACTTTTGTGCCCTTATCCCTTTTCACATCATTTGGGACCTAATCTTCTGTGATTTATTCATAGACTCCGTTTTTGCACCATTAGTTTTCCGTATATTTGCATTTCTCCACAGGGTCACGCCTTCATCCTGCGGCTGCCACTTTTGGCGCTTAGCCTGCAATTAATATTCATAATTACGAGCTGTGCTACTGTTGATGCAACGTGTCCTTAAACGCCGCCATCATTCATACACATACTTGCCCCATCTCGCACTCAGTCATCTTGCATCCTTAAACGCAATGCACTTCATATTCATAATGGCAATTTTTTACGCTTTGCGATCTTGGGCAGCATTATGCACAACAATAAATTTATTCAACACATGCCAAGTGAGCCGAGGAAACAGAAAGGAACAGAAACGTTGCGAAAGGCAAGGACACTCTGAGTGTTTTACAAAATTGTCTGAGCGGGTGTCCTGATGATTTATGCCGTGGTCTTATATTGCAGTTGTTGATGGGGGCCCATGTAAATAATAGTGAGTATCTATGCTGGGCTGCCACTTGATATATATATTTAAATGCCTGGCAAAGCCCATTGCCTGAATGAGGATTTATGCGGCTAAAAACACATTCTAGTTATCACGGCCAAAAGCCCATTGGGCCATAAACCTCGTCTGCCACGCCCCCCATTCTGACATTATAGCCATGCGTGTGTGCTCGTGTCGATTTAATGTCAATAAATACTCATGTCGGACTTACAAAGTCGCCCATTGATAATTCAACTAATTAGCATTCAAGTTAATTATTTCCAATTCAAATGTTCAGCACGCGTCGGCCATTTTTGTTATTGTTGTGTCAGCTGCACGATTGTTTATGTGTGCGTGCCGAACCGGAAATTACGTCACTGGCGAAAGTGTTGTTGAATTTAAAATAGGCTCTTCCGCAGGTTACTGAACCCAAAAAACCCAAAATTCCATCCAAACATTGGCATCTACATATCCTAAATATGGAATGTCAGGCATGGCTTTAATACTTTCCACCATTTACGACTTTTCCTAGGGCATGGGTCTTATTTTTACGAAGTTAACATGTTTTCTCTGCTTTCTGGAATTTTTCGGACACCGAAAAACCTTCATTTGAACATGCTCGACGACAAAGACAAATAAAATAAATGAATAAATGCATATTTTTGCCCATTGCGGTATTTGGATAATGCGCCGAATGAAAAGTCGCCGCAGAGAGTGCTATTCAACCGAAATTTATTAAAAAATTCCACAAAATCGACATATTCATGATCCGGATTATTTAAACTATTTTAATATATTTGCGGTTTTGGCCAGAACGTGCTGGAGGCACCATAGCCAAATCGAACTACGAACGGGCTCTGTATACTAAATGCAAATAAAATTTACTCACTGAAGAAAATTGGTCATCCATATTATACTTTAATTTTGGACTTATATTGGAATTAATATTTTATTATTTATATGTTCTTTTATATGTATTTATATGTTATCAAAAAGTGTTCAAATTTTCCCCTTTCTTAGCGGTGATTACATTTTATTTTTACGTGTATTCATTAAACCTTAACTTCCATAATTTGTGGTCATCCTCAGCACATACGTATATTGTCCTAATTCACACGGCTAGCTGTAGTTACTTAAACTGTAAATCATTTTAAAACGAGTAGCCTAACGTTCTTAAATCAAACCCATTTCTGCTGCCCTCAAGTCAACACTTTTTGTACAAACACTGTGTGACAAATAACCATAATGGCGGACTTTAGCATTGCCAAGTTTAGCAATTATCAGGAATATCTGCAGTCCTTTACCACCGTGGAAGACTATCGATACTTACCCTTCCACAAAACTGTCGTAACTCTTACAAAACTCGGTTACAGGGAGCATCGTACCTTCTATATGGAGGATGAGTTCCTAAGTATGAAAAAACAAGTGGAACAGCTGCTGAATCCAACGGTTTCTGCCCAGATATACTACAGTCAATATTTCAAAGGAACGGATCCTGCTCTTCGAGCTTTGGTTGAACGCGAAACCTATAATGTCCAGCAGGAGATATCAGTGAGTGTTTAATTAATTCCAGAGTTTAAGCTTATGGGTTATGACCACTTCGTTTGCAGACCATTATCTTTCTGGAAACTAGTGGCAGAAGTGGATTCGCCAAATCAGGATATATTGACTTTGAGGCCAGTCTTCGCAACTGCAGATTCAAAGGACCAAATGCTGTTGATTGGCGGGCAGTATTTGAGGAGAAAAAGATGCTGAAACCTCAGCCAAGTGACATTGTTTTTTATGACTGGAAAAGCAGGAAGATTTTTTCAAATGACAATGATAATTATACAGTGGTAGCTCATCCGGAATATGGCCTGATGTTTGCTCACAAGGGTGATCACAAGAACATACCGGTAACCACTAAAAAGAATCCCTTTTCTAGCAACGTTAAACGTTCGATGATCAGGTCCAATCTATATGGTTTTATTATTCTGTACGACCATTATGTCCGTAAGAAGACTTAACGGATTTTAAATTAGTTTTAATGGTTTTGCAAGCAAAGTAAATTATTTTAATAAAAAAGTAACTTGTTACTTTACAAAAAAAAAGTGTCTTTCTCTACAAAATTCAATATCTGGGATATTCCTTTTTTAGCCCAACTAATAATTGTCCTTCATTCAATATTAATGTCATCTGATAAAAGCTAATGCTTGCAACGCTCGAGCAAGCAAAATTCCACTTAAGTTGTCAACACTCTGCTGCCTACAAAACCACATATACACACATAGAAGTCACCCCTCCTGCAAACACAAACACACACACTCTGACACTCTCTTAGACACGCACGCCCGCCTTTGCATATCCATCCACACCTTAAATACCCAAATCAAAAAATAAATGGTAAACACTGGACGATCCCAACCCCCTGAAAAACCACATGGGCCTCATGTCCAGGGCGAGACTCTATCGAAAAATGCTGATGATATGATATTTAGAATATCAGCCGGACAGCTAAGGATGTCGGATGGGGGTCTCAAAATTCTTGCAGAGCATGGCAAATATTTATTTAATGCTCCGGATTGGACAACCGATAGCCAGACATGCAAACCGAGGGGTTGGAAATACTACTTGTTTGCTTTTTGGGGGCTTGGGCTGCTCTTTGAGACTGGCCCATTGTTTCGGTCTTGGCAACTTTGTTGCTGCCATTGCTGCTTAGTTAATTTCTGGTCATCAACTGCAGAGCGGCTTTTGTTTGGCAACCAGACAATGGAGTATCACCGGGAAAAATCCTATGAAAATGCAATATCTTAGTTAGGGATAAAATTAAAGCCTTTCCATAGAGATTTTAATTATTTTTTTTATCATTCAATATAATAAAATGATATTTAAGTTGCAAGTAAACATAATAAAATGTCTTGGTTGTATCTACTAAAGGAAAAATAAACTGATTTGTTTTTTTTTTTTTTGTGTGTGCTGACTAAGCTCTGCGCCTTGGAAGAGCTCCAAAAGTGCCAGCAAACAACAAAAGGGGCGTTTTTCTTTGGTTGGAGGCGTGGACAGTCTATTGTGAAAGTGTGTGTCTAGTTTTAAGTGCTTCCAGCGTGTATAAATCACATTGTTGAGCATTTTTACCGATCGGTGAGGCTGAGGTGCAGGTAATGTCTGCGCATAAAAGTATGCAATAAAATATTTTGTTGCCGCCAGACGTTTTAAGTGGATTTTGTAGACCACAAAATGGCTTAATATGTGAACTGGAGGGAGTTAAGGGTCCCAAAACTTTGGGTTTCATTAGCATTAACGGGTGGTTGGCTGGTCGGTGGGCTTGTCAACACGCCCACATCTGAGAACCCACGACCAGGAACAATATTTATGTGCAGGTTAACACGTGAGTGCGAGACGGCGTGTGTGTTTTTGGGTCTGTTTGCTCACAAACCTGATTACAAAACTCATAAAGTCGCCATGAAATTCAAACAATGCGTTACGTGCATCGAATGCTGAGAACCACACAAAGGACACACAGATGAGGCGGTCCTCCCACACACTAACACAATCACGTACAAGGGACCCATGCATAAACAACAATTTTTGTTTGACCCAAGGAGTTGAAAGCCGATGTGTGAGAGGGCCTGTTTATTACATTTTGATTATTGCAATCTCGTTTCGCAGAAGCCTAAAACACATCAAAGGATCTCAAACTGATTTACAGTTGAAAAAAGCCGGTGAAAAATAAAAAAAAAACAGCGTCATGGAGAAGAAAAATCAAATCAGTGACTGGCGCCAAACTTTCGGCAACTTTAAAAGCATTTTAACTGCCTCCGCAACTCGGAATATAAATATAAATATTTATGCGAGTCCGTCCGCAAAGCGATTTGTCAAAAGCGGTTCTTACTTGTGGATTATGAATACTTTGCTTGAATTTAGCTGACAGCAGAAAATTATTACACAATGATTAATATTTATTTGCCCGGGCCACTGAGCAGCGGTTCCCAGCGGAATTTCAGGTCCAGAGTCCGGGAGTGAGGCTGGGCAGAGAGGAGTTCAAGAAAGTGGCCACAACAAGTGACAATGTGCTGAATATAAACATTTTCTCCTTCGGCCAGCCTTGGAAGCCGCTCAAAAAGGCATTTAATTCAGATTTATGCCCTGCACGGCATTGTGACAGGACGAAAGCAAACACAAGCCAGCGTGTCCTGCGAAAATTATGATATTTGCCATCCTCCAAGGCTTGGTGCTTGGCTTGACTTGGCCTGTTTGCCTTCGCCTGATAAGCTATCGAACAATAAAATAGCCTCGGCCGCCGAGATTGGGGTTCGAAGTTTTGCGAGGCGAAGGCAAATAAGGATATGCGCAAATAAAATAGCAATAAATCAAAACGATTGACGATCTCATGATGCGGCTGGCCTCAGCGATTAAGGCCTCAGTGCCTCAGATTTTACCCATATAAATCGACTTGGGGTCGAAAAGTGATTTTGATTGTTATTTGTTTGCCGGCATCTTAGTTAGCCTGGCTCCTGGCTCTTGGCCTGTCTCGCTCGCGACTTGACAAGCAATTTATGGCGATATATATATATATATATATGTATCCTATAGTTGGATCCATAATTTATGCCGAACTGCAGGAGAATCACTGCAGCGGAAGTGCGAATTCCGAGGAAGCCGAAGTCGGTGGCTGCCACTGTCAATAAGGAAACTTCATTATAAATTACCCAACTGACAGTTGCAGGCAGACGCCGGAGAATAATAATAATGGCAGCCGAGGCGAAAGTTAAAAGCCAAAGAAAGACCCCCCTCCTCAGAAATAAGCTTTTACCCATCCCCGAGATTGTTTCAATCTGCTTAAGCGACCAAGTCGATGTTGGAATCGAAGGACCTAGCTTTTTGGCCCCAAAGGCAATCAGCCATGCAACCAGATCTCCACAGCCCGACCCTTACTGCCCACCGATTGTTGTGTTTAAAATTGCTGAATAATTGTCCGGAAGCTGGTCGCTGTTGCATTCTGAGTTGCAAGAAAAAAGAAAAAAGCAATAGCGGGAAGCTCCATGAATCACATAAAAAGCAAATGTCACATCGTTAGGTTAAAAGCTTTATGCAAATTTCCCTTTTGCTTCTTATCATATTCTCTTTGCTGCGCTGCAAGCTGAATGGAAATTGTATTGAACAAGGGATGAGATTGCATTGTGGGGGTGGAATGTATATATAAACCCTATATTGAGGGGTTGCAAGTGCAACTAATCCGAAGTGTCTGCAATTAGGTGCAATTGTTTGAGAGGAAGTGTCGTTCAGCTAAGCATTTGAACACGCTGGGCACTTATTAACCCCACTTAGAAGCATTATTGATATTATTATTATTATTACTGCAACAACAGCCATTCGAAATCTACTTATTGGATCGCCAAGATAAGCGTACTGAATTAATTAATGCTCATAGGACTATGCATGTGTTGGGGCATGAAATGGGCATAGTATCACTGAGAAAATTTGGTTTTAATGGGAAATAAATTTGAAATATAATTATATATTACCCACCAACTTCTTAGTTTAAGTGCATTTTTTTGAAAATTGAATAGATTATCTACTTTTCATATACTCATATTCATTTTCTTAATTAAGAGTTTATCTTTTCCCTGTCTCACAAGACTAGTTTTCCGGTGAAAATTCCATCTTATCATCGAATTTCTTAGTCCGCTTGCAGTTGTTTGCTGAATAGACTTAAATTCAATTACTGTTTATGCACATTGAGGGCTATCCCATCATAATCTGAGACAAACAGTAGCTGATTGCCCTCAAGAGCGGGGCAGGAGGGCAATTAAACTGCCTTGTCCGCACATTACCGCTTCCACGTTTTATGGCAGGCATTTTAAAAAATATTGAAAAAAAGCGAGGCGGGCACGAAATTGAAATGCTTGCCAACAGGCGCAGCTTTATTGGCACCCGTCGACGTCCAGGAGCTGGGGCATATTATCCTGCAGATGGCTGCGGTCACTGGACATTAGGCGCTGGGCGGGAACAACCGGTGTCCGCCGACAAGGCCAGGATCATGGCAGCACGGATACGGGACACGGGATACGGGATACGGGCATTGTACATGAGATGGCGTCATTAAATACACATTACCCTGCCGGCGGAGAAGGCAGTCCGGCGATAAAGGCACAACAACCGCTGAGCAACAGTCGGCCAGCGGGAGAATGGCCAGAATGGCTATTAAAAACCAGCCCGGCCCGAAGATAGACATGGTACGGCTACAGTGGCAGACATAACAAATTACGCTATTTCGACAGGCGGTTCACAACAAGAGCACAGTGCTGCCCAATGGGATTTTCTCTAGCTAAAATATTACAAGCGTTTCTCCTGACAGAATTTTTAGCTATTTTATAAATATTTACTTTTTGGAAAACATTATCTTCATTATCTTATTGACCATTTTAACTATAATCTTAATTTCTATCAATTAACGTTAGTTGAACAATCAGTCTTTAAGCTGTTAAGAATATATTTTTATCTTTTTTTTTTCTTTAAAAAAAATATTTTGTTCAGAACAAAACTAAGAAGTTTCCAATAATGAATGGTACACCTCTTTTTTTCATTTTTTAATTTCTAATCTATTTACCTTGAAATATTAAATATGCATTTTTTGCACATTTTTCGTAAAAAATAAAAAGTGATGGCACCCCTTATAAAAATACAAAAATGGGTCAAAAATTGACTTTTCAAATTCAGCCGAAAAGTTATAAAAGTCGTAAGCTGGGCATCGTTAGCTGCAGAAAACTGTCTTTCTTTTAGCTGTTTTATCTTGTTTTGAATTCGGATTTTTAAATAAAAAAGTCTAAAAATGGTCCAAATATGGAATGTAATACCTCATTAAGCTCGTTTTTAAATTCCTATTCGATTGTCAATCAAAATCAAAAACTAATTTTTCCCTAAAAATACGCAAAAATAATGAATTTTCAGATTCTGCCGAAATCTGTTAGGGATCGGTAGTTCTGGCTGTTAAATGATCAAAACAATCATTAGTTTAATTATGAGAGAAAAACAGTCATAAATAATGCGATAGAAGTCGTAAAAACTACGACAAATATTGGCGAAAAAGTTCAAAAAATTTGTAATATTTTGCGATCCAAATCAGTAATTTCTCCCAAAAAGACTGTCCCCTATATTAAATTAATATTTAGCAATAACTTTTTTGTATTTCTCCATATTGCCTATCCTAGCTGTTTGTTTATCTCTTGAATTAACCGTGTAATCTACAATCGCCAACACTGGACTGGCATTATGACCGGTGGTTCGATGGTCGGTGTTCAGTTTCAATTGTGCCGGCAAACGTGACTCCAAATTGGCTGCCGTCGAATAATTCATACGAAACACTTTCGCACCGTGCGCCTTGCCATTAGCATCGTCCTGCTGTTTCTCCCACACCAACGGACGACCTCCAACCGCCCATAACCAAACCCATCACCCACCACCGCCCACTAACGCCCTCTGAACCACCAAGCCCTACCCATGCCCTCCCCCATAACCCCACGATTGCATTTACAGCAAATTATTTATGGCTGCGACAGACACGGAACAGGAAGCGAGTATGCGCTGCCAACTTCACGTCCATCAATATTTTATGAAACCCTGTCTGCAGGACGCAGGACGCTCCGCGATGCCAGCAGCCGCAGGAATGGATGGGTTAGAGTCCTCGGAACAGGACGAGGGTATCTGCTTACATGGCTGCCTCCTGTCGACTGCCTGGCTGTCGATATCCGGTTAGATGAGTATCTAAATTGCCTTTACTGTTGATGAATTAGCGCCGGCTGCCTGGCTGTTTCCCCATAGAATGAGTTTCCCCCCATATATATCTACTTGTAAAGCATAAAATGGGCTCCAAGTACAAGTGCCTGCGTTGTGCAGATAAGCTTCCTTGCGATGGGTAAAAATTTCAATTTGTTCTGAATGATTTTGCGCTCATCAAATAGGCCGGCAATCTAGAAAGACCTTGCTCTAAAAGGAGCTGGAGAAGAGTCTAACGGATGAAGGTGTGGCAATAGATCAAACGAATACCAGGATGTAGGTTTTTAACTTCTTCTTTTAATCACCTCATTGTTGGCGAATGAAAAACTAATGAGTATTGGTTTTCTTTTAACTCTTAACTTTTAACAAAGATAATTGTTGTATTGTCTTTATATTCAAGTATTTATGGTATACAGCTACATAGGATACATACATTTTTGTAAACTAAGCAAACAGGGCAATACAAATTCAAATTTATTACCAAATCTCTTAGCAAGCACACTTAGCTCTCCTTGAGTTTAACATCATTTACTGTTGTTTTATTTTTGTAAATTACCAGTTTGAGGTCCATTATGTTGATCTCCCGTAAGGAAATCATATCGTTATTGCTTTTCTTTACGGCGGTTAGTTGCACCTGCCGATAAGGAATACATATTTGACCTCTTAACTTCCCTCACGAAACCTCCTCCCCAGATAATTTGCGTGGTGAACGCGTCAATCTTTGCAAATATCCTGCCCCTCTATATCAGTTATGAGCAGCTGGCTCACCAGGTGGTCACTGCGGGAACCGCCCACATTTGCCTGCTTTATGCCTTTAGCACCTGGTTTTACTACTCAAATTATTCGAGGACTCGTCTGCAGATGCGATTAGTGGTGAGAAGTTCAACTCAATGTTATCCTTTTTAAGCATTTAAAAACGTTTCCTTTCTTAGTTTGTGATCATGCTTTTAATTTTGATGCTGCTGAACGCCGTATCTGCTTATTTCTTTGCAAAAGGTGTCTCCTTTGAGAAACTAGGAGAATGCATGCAGCTAACCTTTCTATTTAGCACATTTGCGATTGCATCGAAATATGTCAGCTTGGGTATGTCGATCACCAGCATTCTAATCCTGCTGGTGGTCTTGATTGTGATCTTAGTAACTATTATCCAGTCACGAACGAGAAACCAGCACGAGAATATTCAGTCGAAGGTGGAGGCACAGTAGCAATAAACTCCTCATCCCTGTGGGAGTGCACATTAAGTTTGGTTTTCATGCAACGCCAAACATTTTCATGTCGCTGCAATGTGGCGCCGCAGTTGCAATAATATAAATATTATACTCGTACGTCGTTTCGCACAGACAGACACGAACTGCAAGCAGCATCTCCTTTATATTTTCACCCACAGATTCTGTCTGTGTGCTTTTCTTTGCAGGTGATATAAAAAAATATATAAAGGAATCTTTGTTGTTCTTCGCACAGGTCGCAGGATGCTCTTGCAGTTTTAAGGTTTTACTAAAGAGAAAATCAAAATTATTCACCAATGCAGAAATATTCAATATTTTTGTATACTTTGTATTGCAAAATAATAAATATTTTATTTTGGCTATAAGAATATATTAAGGTCTATTTTTACGAACTCCTAATACTTTCTCCTTTTAGAGTGTAAAGAACGCCATCAGAGTCTGGCAGATGATGGGTGAGTGCTCGGGCACCTTCAGAGCCCCAAAAAACAAAAAATCCAGCCAGGATAAGTCTGAGCATTGAGACTCATAAGGAAGACAAGCAACCTCTTCACATCGCCTTGTGTGTACTATTGCATTTTGCATAATGAAACCGGCAGACAGTGCAATTTCCAGAGGCAAACAAACGAAGTTAAACAAAAACTTAAAGGCTTGCCAGTGGTAACTTTCCATGTTAAAGTTATCTCTTCAAGTGAAAGAGGTATTTGCTTGGTATTTTCGAGGGGTGTTTTTTAGGGGGTCACCGTAGTAGCCTAATTACGCTCCAATGGTTGCCCATCAAAAGTGACAGTTGGCAAGGCTGAAAGAGGGGGCTTACAATAAAATTTCCGGTTAAGTTATTGCCGAGCCGCTGCTGGCAAAGGCAACGACGAATACTCAGTTGAAAGTAATTCCAAATTTAATTGCGCACAATTTAGAATGGCGAAATGTTGGCGTGCGTTTAATTAACTGAAAAATAACATAAAAAGCGAAACGAAACGAAACGAAAACGAAAACAAAGTCAAATGACAGGAGCCAGTGGAAATGCTTAATGTTAAATGCCAACTAATTAAATTTCGGGCATGCCAACGGAGTCGCCAGCCGAATTTATTGTTGCATTTAATGGCCATCGCAGGCGGTTGTCCCACTTGCCTTTCACCACTTTTTATTGCGTATACGCAGAGAAGCCGCCATTGCGTATACGCAGTGTATTACGATGTTACCTCCCCTCAAAACCAAACCAATGCAAATGGCCAAAAGATTCAGGATTTTTTTTTTCGGTGGACAGGGATATAGGTTGCCAAATGACGCAGAACCACAGGCATTGCGATTGTAATTCCGATTGGGCAAACGTCAGTTCCACTGCGGTCCATCGCCAAATGAAGCCAATAAACTGGCCTTGTTCGCACGCAGACGTGCGAAAGTGATTCATGTAAACTGATAAAAATTTAATCATATTTCACGTATTAACACGTAATTATTAATGCCTGATAAATGTCGGCAGTTGGTAAAACGTGAAAAAGTCGCAATTAATATGCATTATTTCCCCCTAGTTGTCAATTCACTGGGCAAATTAAATGTGGCACGTTGAGTTTGTCGGTTTCAGAGACACTATGCCCATCCTCAGTAAACTTTTATACCAAGAACTTCAAACTTTAAGTATTTTGTAAAGTTTTTCATTAACTATTTTACTGCACTCAACACTCTCACTTGTTATTAACCCCATACAGGGTATTTTACATCACCACATTATTGTTCTTTATTTAATACTGAACAAGTGTGTATTTTCGCTGTGAAACTTTCTTTTTTATTATTATTATCATTGTTATTTGTGGGAAATGCCTGTCGGTGGGTTTATTTGGCTGGACTTGCGCTTTATTTTCTTTTAATTATGTACTCCGATCACAAATGTGGGTCAATTAACAAGCAGCCATCGATGGGGCCCATCGATGTCGAAAACTCGGGATTAAACAATGCCGCAGACGTGCTGCCAGGACAATGCAAACAATTGTCAGAATTTAAATGCAGCGGCATCGGACCGCAAAGTTTCCACTCACTATCCGGTTCAATGTTCGCATAAATTATGCCGCCATATGTCAGACATCTGGCAAATGAACGCTCTTGCTCCGAATTTCGATTTTTCCTCTGGTTCTCTTTTTTTTTTGGCCGGAAAACTGTCAACTATGCAGCGTGTGTAGGTCGATATTTTACGAGTCTTGGATAGGCGGGAACAGCTTTCGTCTAATTGCCACTGGCATTATGCCAAATGCAGGCAGGACTAGCTTAAAGTCACTAAAACCAACGAAATCGGCCAGAAACTACGATGGAAATAAGCCATCAATCACCATACCAGCAAGTGTCAATCACTGAAAATGTCAATGAAAATTTTAAAGTTTAAGCTCACAAAAGTCTTAGAGCGATAAAAGGATTTCCTCAAAGGCAGTAACATAAATACACAAATTTTTACTAAGTAGAAATTTTAAGAAATTTGTATTCAATAGCTTAGACTTATTTTTCAAAACGGAATGCGAGTATATGCTAGTACTTGTTGGAGCATTCGTTTGTATTTGTCAACAAAAAATTTAAAGCGAAATGGAAGTTGCTCAAGGAAACAATCTTCCTATCAATCTTCTTCAATACGATTTGAATCAAGAAGGTGCCCGAAATGAGCTATTGCAAGGTAATCGTCCAGCTGAAGAAACTCTACCCGTAGAGAATACGAAAGAAGGTGAGTCATTAAAAGAGTATTCTAGTTATAAATGCTTAATAAATAATTTTCGAGAGTAGCTGTGAAGCCAGCAGGGAATCCAGATAAGATGGAACCCCAGCAACTGCAGGCAAATGTCCTGGCACAACGAAATATATCCAATTCGGGTGGCGGAGATGCCGAAGTGTTCACTGCGATACCTACTGAGGTAAAAATGCGCCCCAAAATAGATCACATGGCACCCTATCTGTGCAATGAGTGTCATCAGTATGTGGTCGAAGGGGTCATCCCCATCTGTGGCCATCTATTTTGCTGGACATGCCTGTGGCCTAAGCTAAAGGAAGCGAGTTCTCCTGAATGCCCACGTTGCAAGCATCGCTTGATACTGCACGAAGATATCTTTCCCTTGTACGGCGAGGGACCCAATGCCAACTTGGATGTTAGCAATGAGGCGGAACAGCCTGATTCAGTTCCTCGTCCCAGTGGCTTGTATCTCACCGATTCCAAAGTTCCCAGGTGGTTCAGGGTAAACGATCCCAAAGGTGATCGCCATCGGGCATACCATCAGGTGAATAGTGAGAGGGATTTTTACTCTATAATGGATCAACTGCCTGTGCGGCATCCTTGGATCGCGATGCAAGTGGAATTTCTCAGGAGGTTCCAAATCGGATGTGCCATCCTCCTCTACGTGATGTGGCTCACATTCTCACTGACCTAAGTGGTAGCTGTTGTATGTTTTTAATTTTTCTTAATTTTGTTTGTTTTTATTTGGTGACCAAGAGAAAGGGCTAGCGCTGGCAGTCCTACAATAAATTTTTTGTGAGTGTAAATAATAATTTATTGCAAATATCATCTCGATGTAAAATGGTTGTATTATATTATACTCGTATATGGGGTGCACCGCGAAAGACTTGCGTTTTAAAATCGCTATAAAAATATCAATATTTCCCAATTTTCTTTGAGCGTAAACTTAACCATTTCGTAAACCGCAAACCTACTAAATATCTGATACATTGACAATGACATTAGAAATGTCAAAGTCAAAATTATCGATAGTTCAAAAAGCAAACGCTACATGGGCCTGTATAATATATGGTACATTATAACCTCTTCCTCAATGTATAGATATGCAGGGGTATTGATAAGTTCCATTAAAATTTTACATTTTTAAAATAATTTTAAATGTATTCTAATCCTTCTCTTTTAATCCAAATTTAGCACCGTTTTGTGAAAGTTTCCTTGTAATTTTTGTTATTGTTAAGACCCCACAGAAAAAGAAATCAAGACAACTTGCAGTCAAGACATTTTCACCCGTACCAACTAGCAACTTCAAGGAAACACAGAAATATTTTATGAACTCTCCGGCCAAGTCAAAGTTGTTGCATGCAACATCGCAAAGTCCTAGAGCGCCCTGGCCACCTGAAACAATAAGTTTCAGGGGCAGTTATGAAGCCAGCCAAACTCAGGCTGAAATATAAGCAGCTTTAAAGTCCATACTTAAAGTGGTTATACCTAAAGAGTCTCTTTAGAGAAGCGAACCAAAAACACTCTGGCTAATGAACCATGGTCAACCGAATATCCCTGGAATTGGGTTAGCCCAATTGAGTTGTTATCCGGCTTTTCTCGGGGGCACCGAACAACACTCGATGACAGGTCCGTAGGGCAAATTGTAGATAGAGAGATCCGGAGTGGCTGGCCGTGGTGGCTTGACTATGGGCAATATTTATCATTAATTAAGCGAGTGCCGAGAAATCCGTAAGGATATATATTCGAAAGCCAAGCGTCAGAAGTTAATGCGACAGCTACGTGGAGAAAGCGACACGGACATCGAAAGGAAACGGATGCAGATGCATCCTGTGATTCAGCTTTATTATTGCAGCTTAAATGGCATTTGCCGGCAGCTCATGTACGAGTATGTGTGCGTGTGTGTGTGTGTATGTGCGTATGGGGAAAATGGAAAATCCTTTCTTCGCCTTTTTGCGAGCACATGACAATGTCCGCTGCAGCATCACAGAAAATTGATGCGTTTTAAATTGCATTAAATTCCATGGAACGTAATCCCAGCCACTCGCACACAGACACGCTCCCAAAAGCCAGCACTGTGTGTGCAAATTAAATTAATTTTGTTTGCCTTGTTCTCCGGGCGGCGTCTGGTATTATGATGCCAGCTTGGAGCTTGGAGCTTGGAGCTCAAAACTCGGAACGTTGAGTTACCAAGCTCAGAGTTACGTGTATCGATTACCAGCTCTTTTAGCCGACTTTCCGCTTTAGTTTCCTGGCCAATTTGTAGCGGCGTCTGCGATCGGCGTCGGCAGCCAGTGCAAATATTTAGCAGTAATTAATTTAAATCAGCAAATGGTTGAGGGAAATGCAAAATGCCAAATGCCAACGGCTCTGGTCCCTCTGGTGGCATCATTAAAATCTTCCGCCCGCTGAACAACAAAGCGCTAGTAAATTGCTCGTCACGAGTGCTACTTTGTTCCCTTTCGCCTCTCGCCTTCTGCATTTCGCCTTTTGCCCAAAATATTATCCAGCAGCAGCTTTGGCAGACATTTCAACTTAAATTATGCCGCCATGTAACACATGACGTATACGTAATTACAGAAGGCAACGGCCTAAGCAGTGCAGGCAACTTGGCTTTTATCTAGTGAAATTTAGCTATTTTTACAGCTATACTATGTATTATATTATGTTGATTATCAAGTTTCTTATTCAAGTTGTTCTCAAATTAATACAAAACTTTTTATATATTGTTTTTTAACACTAAATTGACTTCCAAAATTTTGGAATACTTTTCTGTGATTAAGACTAACCCAACCCCCATTTGTCAGGCCAGTTAGTTGGTGGGATCATGGTCATATATTTGGTTGGTACTTGCCATCTGCCGTAATTTCCATTTCAATTATAGTGTCTGCCGCCTAGACATTTGATTTGAAAAGAGCGCCGCACACGACAAGCGCCATTTAGGGACCAACCCGTCATCATTCCCATACCCATACCCATTCACAACCCAACCACATCCCATGCCGGGCTGCAACGGTGAATGTGGCTTTTATTCATTACATAATTACTGTTGTGTTTGCACTGTGGCAGGCAGCAGTTGCCCCTGGGGCAAAGGTTAGTGCAACCAGCAGTGATTATGAGTAATTGTCAAGGTTAGTTAGGAATCTCGTTAGCGGGCTTTACTGTCATTGTTTGTACATTTTGCTCCGTAACTTGTTATACCATTTACCAAGGTTTTGAATAGAAAAAAAAGGGGAAATATACAAATGAGTGCATAAAAAACAGTGAAAGTAAAAGTTTTAAACAGATTTTTAATGATATTTTTATTATTTGATTCATTTTGCCATAAGTCTTGTTATTAACTCCATGTTCCCCTCACCAAGGAAACAATCTGAAGAGGTTCTCATCTTTGGGGGCGCAACTACCTACTTGCAAGTGGCCATAAATAAATGCTCTTCACAATAACAACTCCCTTGCCGACACAATGCATAATGGTGGTAGTTGCAGGCCAGACAATTCCCTCTCAACCACCCCTTGTGCCCGCCCTTTACTGCTGCACACATTTGTGCAAATAGCATGCACTATGCACGTTTCCGTTTCCGGTCTTTCGGGGCTTACAGGCGTTGCAATTGTCGCTTGTTGCAACGACAGCCTCCGCCATTTTGTCTCTATATTACTGTGTGTGTGGGTGTGTGAGTGTGGGTGTGCCACAGTCTGGCGCACATGGCGCATACTTTATGCATAACAAATGGCTGCTTAGTATATTGTTTAATTTATCAAGCATGAATTATTTATGTCGATCTGCGTGTCGTCCAATGATATAAAGTGCAATGCAAAACTTGAACTTTGCTGCAGAGTTTCCAAACAGTAGCTTATATTGTGCACTGGAAAGTCGTAAAAATATTAAAGAAAGAAGGTCAACAGGGAAATTAAATATGGTTTTAGTTTAAAAATATCCAAATAATCGCCTTAAAAATATCAATTTATTTCTTTTTCTTTTATTTTTCTTTCTTTAAATTATTTAACAATATATTTAAGTTTTTCCCAGTGTACTTACCCATTTCCCTACTCGTAGGCTTGTCGAACAAATCAAATTTATGTGTTAGAGAATACAAAATACACACATTCCCAGTTGTATTTTCTGAACAGGTAAACTTCACTTGGGCAATAAAATATTGCATTGTTGTGGCCGCCAGGACCAACTTATTTCAACTTGTTGAAATGCAATTTTCAATTGAATTCGGTGCGTTGTGCGATGGTGTCAAGAGCTCTAATTTAGATTTATTTCGGTTGATTAATTTGCCGAGTATGAGTATGTGAGTATGTGTATGAGAGTGTGCAAATTTGGAAGTTGATAATTGCAGGCAAAGCTCAAGCGGCCAAAAGTTTAAGGCACTTGGAAAATAAATGGGAAATGGTTTTTCCAGATATTGTGTGAACACAATGCCACGTCTTCGCCAGAGAAAGGGAGAAAGAGGGAAAAGTAGAAAAAGTGGAACTGCAGAATACAAAAGAAATGCACGACATTGTGTTTTTCAGTTCCATAGGGGTTGAGGTTCAGGTTCTGGGGGAGTATCATTCAAACGTGCCCCCTTCAAGCTCACTTTAAGCCATATTGTGTATAGATAACGTGTCTATTCAGTCGAGAACTGATACGGAGAGTCAAAACACAGAATACGGCAGCCAGGAGCGGCATGCTTGACTTCCTTGTGGCTTCTGAGTAACAAGTTGGGCATAATGCGGAAACTAAAAACTGTTGCATACTTTTATGCGCTGCCACAAGCCATCGGCATCAGGACCTCAGAAATACCACAGCTCCTCTTACACTTTTACAACCCCCTTTTAGCCCAAAAGGACGACGCTTATCACCGCAAAAGTTTTTACCACTTTAGAGTCAGTGTCTGCTGCCAAGAGACATTTTGCCGTCGAGCTGACAACGCTCCTCCAACTTTGCAGCCTGAGCGGAACTGGAGCTTTAAAAACTACCCAGAGTATTACATACAGAGCCATACATAGCTGTCCAACATCTGCTGGACTAAACTTTTATCAGTTTTAATTGCCATTAACACTAATTACAACTGTCACATATCAAAGAGTCAAAGGCAAATCACAAAGTCATATTCAATATCATGGTTAAGGTTGCCATTTAAAAGTGACTCATAAATATTTAACTTGACGCTCTTGTGCAACGTAAACTATATATTATCTGAGGGAGAATTTCAAGCTACATTAGTATTTGGGAAACCTAAAACCCCCTTTTTATAAACTATATATTGGAAAACTTTTAGTTTAATTAATTTTCACAGCTGTTTTACATAACTTTTGATTCTTTGAAACTAAATTGAACTCAGATTAGTGGCCATATGGCAGAAATCAATGAAGCAAGAGCCCGTCGATAGCCACTAATTTCCATCGAAACTTTTCAGTTTTTTTTTCTAGATCTGCAATTGAAAAGCCAGTGACTGGAAAATGTGAAATCTCCCGCGGGCACTTGGGGCGGCCATTTAACTTTTAATCCATCAAAATGCTCTCGACATCGCTGTCGATTCCAATAAGAAAAGAACGGGAAAATTGTTTTAGCCAGCAGACAAAAAAAAAGAAGAATGAAAAATCCAGACAGTCTGGAAACCCGAACGCTTCTCATTATTCCTTATACGTTTCACATTTTAAGCAAATGAATACTGGATCCCCAGAGACTGAGACCGTCGCGACTTGTTGCAATGCTATAAATCTACGCGTAATTGTGTAAGGATACCCACTCGTTAGCCCCCTTTTTTTCCTTTGGATAAATTGGATTATAATTTATTTTAATTGGGAAAAGCCAAATGCAGGC